AGGGAGGTTCACCTGAGGCTCCAGTTGCGACGTTCCCATCTGTTCCGGCCGCACATTTTGGCGCACCCCTCGCACGCTTCGTTGCCCCATAGGGAGTTCCACCTACGGTTCCAGTGGCGACGTTCCCATACGTCCCCGCCGCCCATTTTGGCACGCTTGGCCCTGCAGGGAACTCCGCCTCTGGCCACCGTGGCGATGTTCCCATGCGTCCCCGCCACCCATTTTGGCACACCCCCCGCGCGGTTCGTGGCCCCATAGGGAACTCCACTTAAGCCTCCAGTGGCGACGTTCCCATGACTCCCCGCCGCACATGTTGGTACCCATCTCACACGCTTCGTGGCCCCATGCGAAGCTCCACCTACGGCCCCAGTGGCGGTCCCCGCCCCCCCTTGCGGGCTCACCCGTCACAGGGTTCGTGGCCCCATAGGGAGCTCCATTTAAGGCTCCAGCTGCGACGTTCCCATGCGTCCCCGCCACACATTTTGGCATACCCCTCGCACGGTTCGTGGCTCCATCGGGAGCTTCACCTAAGGACGCAGTGGCGACGTCCCATGCGTCCCGGTCAAAAACATGTAGTACACTCCTCACGGTTTGTAGCCCCATCGTGAGTTCCACCTCAGGCCCCACTGGCGACGTTCCCATGCGTCCCCGCGGCCACTTTTGGCACACCCCTTACACGGGTCGTGGCCCCATAGGGAGCTCCACCGAAGGCTCCAGTGGCGACGTTCCCATGCGCCCTGGCCAAAAACAATGGTACACTCCTCGCGTGATTGGTGGCCTCATAAAGGGGGCTCCACCTGAGGCTCCAGTGGCGACGTTCCCAGGCGTCCCCGCCACCAATTTTGGCACGCCCCCCATGCGGTTCGTGGCCACACAAGGAGCGCCACCGAAGACGATATCCTTTCTTGCGGTTCTCACATCTGCGCATGATTGGGTCCTTCGTCAGGCCATTTTTTGTTGGGCCGCTGCACGTTGGCTGCTGCGCCTTTTGTTTCTACCACACCACCTTCTACACGGCCATGGTTGGGCTGTTCTAGTATGGCGCGTTCGATTAAGTTCTTTCGCCATTGGCACCTCCACCTGCCGACCGCGCCTGCGGTTCCTCTGCGCCGCCGACTTAAAAGTCTGTGCGTGTTTGTTTGTTTGTTTGTGTTTGTTTGTTTGTTTGTTTGTTTGTGTGTGTGTGTGTGTGTGTGTGTGTGTGTGTGTGTGTGTGTGTGTGTGCGGTTCGCTCTCGCCCCACATATCAAAAAGTGTGTGTGTGTGTGTGTGTTCGCCGCCGCTTCTTCCCGACGATGTCCTACTTTCCATTGGCCCCTCTTCCAGTGGTCCACCATCCCACTCACGTCCCGTTTGCTGCACCTGCGACTTCTGTCCTGCCCTGCCGCTCGCCTCTTACGTTCCCGCCATTGCCGCCGCCATTGTGCCTCGCCTTGTCTCGCCTGCACTGTCGGTACTGCCACTCTTTGTCCCGTCCTTGTGTCCTTCCCTCCGTATCCCTGCCCCAGGCTGGCGTGTGACAGAGTTGATCCTCTCGGGTGGGTCCTTGTCCCATGCTTCAGAGTGGACCTGCCGCGTGCGTTTCCCGATTCTAGCTTTCCGACCGTCTACGCGGCGCGCGAGGCCGCGACGCCCATGTGTGTGTATGTGTATGCAAGTATGTCTGTATGTGCGTCTGTCTGTCTGTATGCATGTTTAGTTAGGTATGTATGTTTGGTTGTTGTTGTGTATGTGTATATATACACATCCGCCTACATGCATATGTATATGCATGCGTGTACGTATATTTGTATGCATAGGTTTATGTAAATGTATACGTGTATGTATATGTGTTCGCATATATATATATATACATATACATATGGTATGACATATCTACATATATACATAGTGTCTTTAATATCAGCACACATGTACACGTATATGTATTTGTGCATCTACATATATATATATATATACATATATCTATATATATCGGTATACGTGCACCTATGTGTATGCATGCGTTCATGCACGTGCAAATGTACATGCACATGCATACGCAACTGTGTTTATACATATGTTTTATACACTTATATATATATGTATACAGGAATATATATATACATATATGTGTGCATGTATGTATGTATATGTATGTATGCATCTATACATGTATATCAGACTTATGGCAACAGGTCATTGGGGAATCTCGGGGGTCACGCTGAATCGCCGATGCCGTTCTCGCAGCTTTCTTGCGAGTCTCGCAGCCTACGCGCGGGGGACTTCACCGAGGCCTCGTGCTACGACGACCACGGCGCTGACCAGGGCCAGGCCGCCTACCGCATCCTGGCACTGTACGCGCCGAGCGAGCACGGCCAGTTCGCGCGCGCGGAGTTCATGTTCTGAACCGATAAGTACTTGCAGTGGTATGAGGAGGCTGCGGGCACTCCAGGAGCAAGGCGCGTGAAGCGATTGCTACACTTTGGTCGTGACGAGGGCGCCGCTATGTGTCCAGCGGAGACGACGGCCGACGTGGAGATCACGCACGTCGACAGGTTCAGGATCGTGGACTCGATCGGTGACGTGTTCCTGAGCTACCGCCGCCTCGACCCTGCGGCGCGTTGGCCTGCTGAACTTGGCCCGCAGCCGCTGGACGAGGAGGTGGAGCCCGCGTTGGAGAAGCTGGACGGCGACGAGTCCGAGATCGACGAGTTCGGGCTCTCTGCCACGGGCATGGTTGCAGTGGACGCGCTCGTGGCTGCCCCTGAGGGGCGCGTGCCTGCCGCCGCCCCCGTTCGGCCTGGGCGCTCCTCCGCGGGGGCGCGCGGTGAGCCGCCTGCGCGGGGCGGGATGCCTGCCGCCGCGGCGCCTGGGCCCGAGGGGCCACCCGCCGCCAGCGTCCGCGCCAGGGGGACCGCCAGCGGGGAGACCCCGCTGGAGGCCGCTGCTGCTGCCGCGGCGGGGGGCGCCCGCTGCCCGCCGTCCCGACGCGGAGATACAGGACGCCCTCCGCAAGCGCCTGGCCGTCCTGAAGGGCCATTTGGGTGCCGAGGCCGACGGAAGTGCTGAGCCTCGAGACGCTGGAGCTGCTGGAGCCGCCCCGAAGAGGAAGTCCCTGGACGAGATCCTCGCCGAGAGGGCGGCCAAGGCTCCCAAGCGAGGCGCTTCGGGCGGGGGCGCGGCCGGCAGCGGCGACGGGGCGGCGCCTGCTGCTTTTGGACGTGACGGTGGCGGGTCCGCAGCCCACCTGCTGCGCTCCCTGGTGGGGGCGCCGTCGCAGGGCGAGCCCCGAGGGCTTCGGCGTCACCGACGGCCTGGAGTTCACGCCTGGGAGAAAACTTGCTGCTTCTCGGGCGTTCTTCGGGGGGACGGCCCGCGATGCTCCTGGAAAGTTGCTGACAACACATCTGGCCCACATTAAGCAGTTCCTGAGCACCAAGGGCATCCATGAGGATGAGAGCTCCCTGCCATAGTCCATAAGTTCCTGTTGAATATATTCCTCGTCTCTCATCCTGTCTCGGCAATTGGCGGGGACATATTCAGAGGGATGCGCGCCTTGTCCGGGGCCCTGGACCTTTTGATCCAGGGTGGGCTCCTCGAGGCCATGGAAATGCTGATGCAGAGGTTCAAGGCCTGCCAGCTCGCCTGGAAGGACAAGCATTGGCGGAGCGCGCGCTGGCTGGAGCTCATTCCTCCCGACGCCGATATGGCTGCCGTCAATGCCATCAATATCGAGGAGGAGGGGCTCTTGAGGAAGATCGAGTATGGCGAGTTGAAGCTCGCCGAGCTCGTGGGCAAGCTCAAGCCTGTGGGCTAGGGGCTCCGCCGGGGGATGGCTCCAGCAAGTTCGGGAGCTGCCCCTGTGGGCCACCCCAATGAAGGAGAGCTCGGAGGTCCACCTCGCGATCGGGGTTTTCAGGAGGCGGCTCGCACTGCAGAGGTGGCGGGCGCGAGTCGCCAGCCTCCAGGAGCCCCAGGTGCGGAAAGGCCTTCCAAGACCTACAAGGACTTGAAGTTGCAGAACCCCAAGAAGGACAGCGAGACGCAGGGCCAGTACCGGCAGCGCCTGGCCCAGATAATGAGGGGCCCCACCTCCAAGAAGCCGACGCCGCCATCTCAGGGAGGCGCTCGCAAGGTTATCCTGGAGGGCTCGGGCACGCAGGAAAAGCTGCGAACCAGAAGGCTGCCGCCCCTTGGGCAGCCACTCGGAGGTGAAGAACACGACCGAGGCTAATTCGCCAAGTGCCAGCGGCGGAGCGAGCTGGCCCTGGGCGCTGACAGGCATGATTGATTTGAGGGCCTGGAAGGCCAGGCTGACAGCTGCCCTCGAGGATGGCATGACCCCGCTCACCTTCGCGCTGTGGCTGGTTGAGGCCATGTTCACCCATCCTGGGAGGTTGGGCAGGTTTTGTCGCGGCTTCCTTCGACACGCGCATTCACCGCAGCAGCAGGGGCAGAGGTTTCGGGATGTGCTGCCTCTTGCTGCTCCATCTTTGTCCAGTGCTAGGGCCTGGAAGCTTACGTTTGAGAAGTCAACTGCCGCGACCCTGAGTGGACCAAAAGCTAGCTGTCGGCCGACCTCTGGAGAGCCAAGCCGCCGACCACAGGAATTGCCCCAATCCTGTGGTTGGACTGCTGGAGAGGCTGATACCGGTTTTGCCGCCTCTGTGACGGCCGAGTTGTGGGTCTTTGTCCAGGTCGTGCTCACGAACTACCAGTGCGCGGGCACGTGCAGGCATGGGGCCACCACTCGCACTACTCGGCCGCTCAGGAAAATGCCATCGGGGTCATGCGGGGGGCCGTCTCATACTTCCTTGCAGGCGATCTCGGCAGGGTACCCTTGCCTCTGCTCAGCGAGATCTCGACGAGGCTACGACATCGACAGCGGCGCGCGCGCCCTACCACTTCGGCTCGGCGAGCTTAGGCCCGGCTTACCAGCTGCCGACGTTGCGGGGCGTCTTGATCCGCGTGCCCACGTCAGCCCAGAGGTGCTCGCCTGACTGGGCGACCCGTCCCAGGCCCTCCTGCCGGGCGCCCAGTGGCCCACCGAGGTGCCGAAGGCGGGGCTCCTGGTTGACTCGCCTGCTGAGTGGGCCAAGATCGTGGGCCACCTGTACTCGCTCGGGATCGTGGAGGCGATTGAGGATGGGCACATCCTCCGGGCGGGTGACACGCCTGTGCTCAACGGGACCTCCGCAGTCGAGAAGAAAGGCACTCCAGAGGCAGGGGAGCAGAGGCATTGTCGCTTCATCATGAACATGGTACCTGCCAACAGCTATCTGAGGATCATGACTCAGGACCTGTCGACGCTCACGGCCTCGACCTCTTGGGTCGCTGTGGTGTTGGAGGGCCAGCGCGTGCTTCTCTGGTCGGGCGACGACCAGCAGGGGGCCTTCTTCGTCTGGAAGATCCCTCGCCCTTGGCGGAGCTTCGCCGCGCTGAAGGGCCGCGCTCCGGGTCGCCTTCTGGGGCGTCCTGAGCTGAAGACCGTGCGCGTCTGCTCAGCCGTCGTACCGATGGGCTGGCTGCTGGCCGTCGCGCCTTTCCAACATTTTCATAGACGGCTGGGCCTGCGCCCCCCTCCCGCTGGGGCGGGCCTGCCTGAGGACGACGAGTGGAGGAGAGACAAGCCACTTCCCATAGCTCAGGTGGGCATGTGCCGTTCCTGGTATCAGTTCTTCATTGATGACTTCGATGCCCCCAGGATCGTCTTCGACACGGAGGGTGAGATCGGCGTCGGATCGGTCTACCAGAAGCGGCAGAGGGCATCTTACCAGCGGAGCGGCGTGGCCTGGGCCGAGCGCAAGGCCCACCTCGGCGAGACCGAGGTCGAGAGCATGGGCGTGCTCGTGGACGGCCTGCGGGGCCGCGTCTCCGCCCCCCTCGTGCAGCTGTTCGAGACTATGCTCTTGGGGGCCCTGCTGGTAACCAAGGACTGGGTCTACTGGGGGACCATGCTTGTCCTCTTGGGCAAGCTGGTCAGGGCGCTGGAGTTCAGGCGCGTGCTCTTCTGCATCCTCAGCGAGGTCTGGAAGTTTGCGGACGGCACTCACTCTGGCTGGGTCAACTCTGAGATGACCGAGGAGCTCCTCTGCGCCATAGGCCTCCTCCCGCTCGCCTTCCCTGACTTGCGCGCGGAGGTGGGCCCAAGAGTCACCTGCTCCGATGCGTCGGAGGTCGATGGTGGAGGTGCCTGCACGTCGCTGAGGCTCTGCCCCGAGGCTCTCGCGAAGCTGACGGCTGCTGCCACCTCGAGCCAGGAGGGCCGCCAGCGCGTCATGGCGGGCCGCCTGCTGCTGGGCGAGGCGTCCCTCTGGCGGGCCTGGGAGTCGAGGAACCCGGGCCTGCCGCCGCTCGCTGGCGACAAAGTGGCTGCTGTTCTGGTCATCGGACTCTGCGACGGGATCGGTGGCATGATCGTAGCTTTCTCCAGTCCTCGTACGAAGATCATAGGCTACGTCTCGTCGGAGGTGGATCCCTGCGCGCGCAGGGTTGTCAGGAAGAGGTGGCCTGGCCTCATCGACTGGGGGGGCATCCAGGACGTGGGGGCCGAGGAGATTGGCAAGCTGGTGTAGCTTTTCGGCGGCGTCGTCCACGTGGTCTATGCGGAGCGGGCAGCCCCTGTCAGGACCTGTCGAGGCTGATGTTCGGCAGAAGGGGCCTCGAGGGCAAGAAGAGTGCCCTTTTCAATGAGGTACCACGGGTCCTCGGGCTGCTGAACGTGCCGTTCCCTGGGAAGGTGCGCTCCCTCGTTGAGAATGTCGCATCCATGCCGCTGGAGGACATCGAGCGCATCTCTGTCGAGCTCCAGGTCACGCCCCACCGGTTCTGCAGCAGCAGCCTGGTCCCAACAGGAGGCCGCGGCTGTACTGGCTGTCGTGGGGCCTCCTGCCGTGCGAGGGCTACTGCTACCAGGACAAGGGGCACTTCATCGAAGTCACCGCCGATGGCGCGGAGCGCGTGGAGCTGCCCTGGGTCACTCCTGGCTGGATCTGGAATGGCGGCGCGCTGCCAGTGCCGACCCTTGTCTGTGCTAGGCCATCATCGCTGCAGCCCACTCGACCTGCTGGCATTGCTCGGGCTAGTCCTGAGGCTAAGGCGCGCTGGAAAAAGGACGATCATCGTTATCGCGTCGGCCTTTACGAGAGCGCCTGCCTTCTCCAGCATGAGGCTACCATGGAGTTCCGACCCCCGTCAGCTGAGGAAAAGGAGGTCCTTTTGGGATTTGACCGGGGATGCGCCGAGTGTGCTGTGAAGGGCGGATCTGGTTTGGGCTCAGAGACCACGCGTTGTTTCCTGCTCGGGAATAGCTTCTCGGTCTACGCCGTGTCATGGCTGCTGCAGCACGCCCTGGTCGCTGATGAGTACCAACCACGGCTGTGGAAACCCTCTGCCCTGTGCCATGCGGGGAGATGCAGGGCCCCTTGGAACGACAGCGCTGTGTACCACCAGAGCGACGACTACCAGTATCAGCCCGAGGCGGAGCAGCTCGTAAGGCACTACCTGTCGATCGCCGAGAGAGGGGGCGCGGACGTGCGCCTGGACGTCCACCTGCCGTTCAGGCACCGCGCGTGGCCTCGCGTGTCGCTGGGGCCCGGCGTCTGGACGTGGAAGGTGATCTCGAGCTACCGGTGGCGTGCTGGGATCGGGAAGCGCATCAACGCCCTCGAGATCCAGGCGGCTGTGAACACCGACAAGGGGCGGCTGCGGTCGGGGCAGGGCCGCCCCAGGCGCATGCTGCACCTCGTCGACAGCCAGGTCGCCGCCTCGGTGCTCGCGAAGGGCCGCAGCAGCAGCAGCGGCAGGGTCTTGCGAGTGAGCGTCAAACGATGGGGGGCCTTGTGCTGGGCGACAGGCTGCTACGTCATGCTTGGCTACATCGCGTCGGAAGACAATCCCGCCGACGCGCCGTCCCGGAAGGTTTGGCAGCTAAGAGGCTCTCGCCGCAAGCCCGCAGCTCCAGCTGTCGCGGGCCTCCCAGAGGCTCTCGGATCTCAGAGTCAGCGCGGTCGCTCTCAAGAGGTACCGCATCGCCGTCGCGGAGTTCCTCGCCTTCGCTATCGAGGGTGGTTTCTCGCTGACTAGCTCTGAGGAGGCTGGTCGTGCACTGGGCGCCTATGTCGAGCACCAGTGGGCGAATGGGGGCACGCTCAGCCAGGGGCGCTACGCGCTCGCGGGCTGCCTCTTCTTCGCCCCCGAGCTGCGCACCGCCCTGCCCTTTGCTTGGTCGCTGGTGAAGACGTGGCAGAAGCTGGCGCCCGTCAGCCGCGCCTACCCGGCGAGCCCTGAGATGGCGCTCGGGCTTGCAGGCGCTGCGCTGGCGGTTGGCCAGCCCTTGCTGGCAGCCCTGGTCCTCGTCACGTTTGATGCGATGCTTCGGACCACAGAGCTGCGGGATGTCACGTATGATGACATCGCGTTCGCTGAGGGCGGGGTCATCTTGCGGCTCTCCGAGACGAAGATGGGCGCCAGGACCTGCAAGGTGCAGTTCGTCGTGGTGCGAACGCCGATCGCAGTCAACTTGCTGCGGGTTGTCGCGACGAGCGCCATGCCGACGGACCACGTGTGCCCGTGCACGTACGTGCAGCTCCAGCGGCTTTTGAGGTCGCTCCTCGCTGTTGCCTCGATCCCGCCTGCAAGCTGGTCTTGGTGCAGCTTCAGGCCAGGAGGCGCCTGCCATGATTTTGTCTTGGGTGCCAACCTCGAGCGCGCAATGCAGCGAGGGAGGTGGATCGCCGTAACTTCTGCATGAGTTTAGATCGAGGAGGCTGCCGCCGATCTTGTAGACGTCTCACTGAGCGATTTTTCGAGAGATATATTAATGCATCTTGGCCTGATGTTACTGAATTCCGGCTATAGCCAGTGAAAAAAAAAAAGGTGTGCGTGGAGAGGCCGCGGCGGCCGCCCAGGGGAGTCTTCCTTCGGTGGCGGGCCCCCCGTTCGTGCCGTTCCCTCGGCCTGGTGACTTCTGGGCCGCTTCCCCAGTGGTCCGAGTGAGGTGGCGCCGAGACCCTCGCGGATCGATCTGGCTCGACTCGAGGGCGGCGAAACTCGTCCCTGGGAGCGCGAGGTGGGTACGTGTGACGGGGGGGCCCGCAGCGTAAAAACCCCAACGCAGCTGTCTGGTACAGCTGCGAGATCTTAACCTGTGGCGAATGCGCGACCCAAACGAGATCAGACTTATGACAATAGGTCATTGGGGAATTTCGGGGGTCCCGCTGAATCGCCGATATCGTGCTCGCAGCTTTCTTGCTCTGCCGTCCCACAGCCGCCCGAGCAAGAGTGTGGACAGGAGCCAAGCGACCACAGGAATTGCCCAAATCCTGTGGTTGGAGAGGCCGCGGCGGCCACCCAGGGGAGTCTTCCTTCGGTGGCGGGCCCCCCGTTCGTACCGTTCCCTCGGCCTGGTGACTTCTGGGCCGCTCCCCCAGGGGTCCGAGTGAGGTGGCGCCGAAACCCTCGCGGATCGATCTGGCTCGACTCGAGGGCGGCGAAACTCGTCCCTGGGAGCGCGAGGTGGGTACGTGTGACGGGGGGCCCCGCAGCGTAAAAACCTCAACACAGCTGTCTGGTACAGCTGTGAGATGTTAACCTGTGGCGAATGCGCGACCACAACGAGATGTATATGTATATGTACATGTAAATGTGTATGCATATGTATATGTATACGTATATTTACATGCATATGTCTATGTATATGCCCATGCCGATGTCTAGGTTTATGGCCATGTCTATGTTTATGCCTATGTTTAGGTTGATGTATATGTATATGTATACATATACATGTACATGTATATATACATGTACATGTATATGTATATGTACATGTACATGCACATGTATATCCACATACATATGCATATGCATATGAATGTGTATATGTATGTTTATACGTAGAAGCATATGTGTATGTGTATGTATATGTATATGTATTTGTTTGTGTAAATGTATATGTATATGTATGTGTATGTGTATGTATATATGCATATGTATATGTATATGTTTATGTATACATTTATGTATATTTATGAGTGGATGTGTATGTATATGTGCATTTATACATGTATACGTATATGTATATGTTGCAATGGCGTGCCATAGATTCTTTGCTGCCTGTGGCGAGCGGGAGGGGGCCGCGGCCACCCGTGCTCAAGCCTTTCATCCAGCGAGCTGGGGGCACCTGTCCAGGCAGAGGCGCGGATGGTTGGCAAGCCGTTCGTGTGGCTCCTGGGCGCCGCCACCAACCTGCTGGCGGCCTGGATCTCGCGTGCGCCGCCGTGCCCCGCGGTCCCTTCGTGCCCAGCCTCTCCGACGTGCCCGTCGGTGTCTTGCCCGAACCTCTCGCGTGGGGAGGTCCACTGCCGTGCTGCGGAGGAGCAGCTGACCTGCCCGGCGGCGCCCCCTGCGCCGCCCCCGCCGCCGGCGGCGCCCGCGGCGCCACCGGCACCCGAGCTGGCGCCAGCGCCGGCGGAGCCGCCTTCGAGTTCTTTCTGGAGCTGGGCGGCGCTGCTGTTGGGCCACGTGGTCCTGGCCACGATCCAGCTCTGGCGCGGCATCGTCAGTCTCGTGAAGGGCCTCGTGTGCCGTCGCCATGGCCGCCACAGTGCCGCCACCGCCCGGCGTCCTGCGCTGGGCTTGGGTGCTGTATCGAGGAGAGCGGCTCTGGCACCAGCGGAGGGTCTGGGGCAGATTGGCGGATCCAGCAGCGGGGAGCAGTGACCCGCTGGACCTCCTGATCTCTAGTGCTGACCATGACGTGTACGAGGAGCGGTGCAGTCGGAGCAATCCAGATATCGTCACTGTGGTCTTCAGCCCGACTCGCCAGGCGCTCCAGGGTGTGGACCCGAACCTACTCTACCGCTTCAGGCGGGAGCTGAACGGGCGCGAGACGGTCGCCATCCAGGACGCTCTCATTCAGGTAGCGGACGAGCTGTACTTGGATCGAGAGCGCGCCGCTGGCCGACCGCGCGTGCTCCCAGCGGGCGGCTCTTACGTGGAGTTCGATTTCACTGCAGCAGCCCCTGGACCGGGCGTCCCTGGCGCAGGCCCTGCCGCTCTCGTGCCCGCGGGTGGAGGCGCCGCTGGCGCGGCGCCTGCTGCGCCCCTGGCGATCGCGGCCGCCGCCGGCGCCGCCGCTGCCCCTGCAGCGGGCCTCGCGGCTGGCGCAGCCGTGCCTGTTGCGGGCGCCCCAGCGGGCGCCGCTGGCGGTCCGCCGCCGGCTGAGGCAGGCGCGGCTGGACCGCCTGTGGGGCCGGCCCTGGCCTGGGTGCTCATCGAGAGCACTGGTGGAGGCAATCGGGGCGACGTAGTGCAGCTCAACGGGACCGAGCGGATTGAAGGGGACATCGGACTCATCCAGCTGAACGCGGGCTGGGTCGCCATCCGTCGGATCTCGATGGACCCCTCGGTGTATCGGTGCGCCGAGAGCGGGGCGGACATCAGGCTGCTGGGCGTGCCGCCTCGGCCTGACGGCTCCAGGCAGCGTCTGGCGTGGCGCGACGCGGTGCCGATGATGGTGGAGAACATCATCCCTGGGTGGCTGCTCGACGGTCCTCGCACCATGCTGTGGTGCGCACAGTTCATCGACAGGAAGAGGGGCGGCCCCGTGGAGCACTACAATAGCTTCGTGTCCTTCTACCACCTCACGAAGGAGGACTACGGGGTCGCCCACTACGAGAATATCATGAAGATGATAGAGCACCTCGCGTGCTGGGATCAGGTGAACCTCCCCGACCTGGTCGGGGCGGAGCTGGCCATTCGACAGGCGCAGCTCTACGAGTACATCTACTCCATGGAGTTCGAGGCTCAGCAGTCGAGGGGCTCCAAGGACGGCAACGACGGCGACGGCAAGAAGAGGGGCCGAGGGCGTGGAGGAGGGCTTCACCGACTCGGCATCGTGGACGAAGCTGCGGTGTTCACCGGGGCGGCCAAGGAGGACGGCCGCTCGATGATTTGCCCGCTACTACTGGGGCATGTCTCCAAGCAGGTGGAGCGCGACGCAGGGATCCTGAAGCAGATCAGGAAGGCCCGAGAGGAGCGTCGCGCTCTGTCATCATGAGCAACGCGGACGGCTTCTGGGAGCCCCTCGCCCAGGAGCCTGCCAGGTCGAGAGAGGGGGCGCCCGTGGGCCTCGCGGGTGCAGCAGATCTACCTGTACATGAGGCTTCAAACTCCAGCGCCGATCTTCGCCAGCGTGATCTCTTTCCTTTGCCCTATTTTGGCGCTGGGGCCCCATCTCCTTCTACACCGACCCTGCCATCGAGGTCAGTGCGCAGGCGCCTTGAGAAACGGTCCCACGTTCACGGCATGGTCGACGAGATGACCGACGCGCTGAACGAGCTTTGGGGCTGCCCGCCGGCGGCGCGCCGTCAAGCGCCCGCCGGCACGCCGGCGCCTGCAGCTGGCCACGCCCTCGTCCTCTCGGAGCTCCGCCAGGCCGCGGTGAGGTTTGGCCCGTGCCCAGAGGGCTTGGACGGTCCAGGAGCCCTTGAGGAGCTCCGGATATCTCAATCATACGAGGGTGACGCCACGTTGGTTGCCCCGGTGAGCTTCGACCTCGTCGACTCCATCTCATTGCCTCCTGCTGGTAGCCGACCCGCCGCCCTGGAGACGATCGACGAGATGGCAGGCCAGAGTATCGCTCATCGGTTGAAAGAGTTACTCCTGCCCCGACAGCTGGGGATGGAGCGCATCAGAGAGGCAGGTCCGAGACGACTCTACACGGATCCAGCCCTCCGCAACCCGCGCCTCTACTCGATGGTGGTGCGGCGGCTTATGGACGCCGGGCTGGTTGACTTCTACAGCTCGGCGGAGTGTTACGTTGGCATGTTCTTCGTGCGCAAGAAGAACGGGTCGCTGCGGATGATCCTCGATGGGCGTCGTGCATCCCTCAGGTTCGCGCCTGCCGACTCCGTGGAGCTGGCGACGGGCTCTGCATTCGCTCAGATTTCGGTCGACGGCGACGAGCCCATCAGCATCGGGGGCGTCGACATCTGCGACGCCTTCTACCAGATCGAGCTTCCGTCGTGGCTTCGCCGCTACTTTGGCTTGCCCAGGCTGAGGGCTGGCGACCTCGGACTCACGCACCTGTCCGATGGGTCGGCGGTGCGACCGTCGTCCTGGGTCGTGCTGTGCTTCAGGTGCCCGCCGATGGGCTGGAGCATCAGCCTTGGATCTGCCAGAGTTTGAACGAGGCGGTGACTGCTCGGGCTCTTCCTGGCCACTTTGGCCGTCGTCTCGTGGACCGTCGGCCCGCGCCTGACCTGCAGCAAGGTATGGCGCACACGGTCTACGTTGACAACTTCATCGCCCTCTCCCACACGCTGAGCGAGGTACACGACGCGGCTGCTGTAGTGCAGAAGGAGCTGACGGCTTCAAGCCTGCCCACTCACCCAGTGGAGGCATCAGTCGGCGGCGACACGCTGGGCTGGCACTTCGACGAGGACAAGCCCGTGATCGGTCTCAGCGTCCGCCTCCGCTGGCGGCTTCGCCTGGGTATCGGCGAGCTGCTGGAGCGAGGCTGGTGCAGTGGCCACACCATGATGAAGGTGATATCCCACTTCACGTCGAGGGCGCTGATTCGCCGCGAGCTGCTGAGCTGCCTGGGGGCCGTGTACGGCTTCATGGGGGACGGCGGCCGCGAGAGGCGGCGGCTGACTCCGGCAGTGAGGCGGGAGCTGACCTGGTGCCGCGCGCTGCTGCCCCTGTGCTTCCGAGACGCCGGGCGGCCGCTCTCGCCAGTCGTATCTTGCGTGGACGCATCGTGGTGGGGTGCAGGAGTGACTGAGAAGACCATCACCCCAGATCAAGCCCGTCGACTGTCTATCTTCAACGAGCGATGGAGGTTCAGTCGTGATGGAGAGCAGCAGGTCGCCCCGCGGGACAAGGCCTTGGCCCGGGAGAGCAAGCAAGCTGAGCATATCACCACATCATGCATCAGACACGCCTCGTCGCAGCACGATCGAGATCCAGCAGTCATAGCAGCAGCCATGGAGCAGCGAGTCCCTTTCCGAGTCGAGCCGAAGCTTAAACGTGAGGAGGAGGTCATGTTCGAGGAGGTGCCGGAGGTGGTTTGGGCGGAAGGATGGCATCGGGTTTTGTCTACACCATGGACCAGGAGGGAGGCACAGGTGGTATTGGAGCAAAGGCAGATCATCGTCGCCTCCGCTTTTGCGGATTTGTCGCCAGGCCTGCGCCCCCCTGTTAGCCTCGGGGTCTTCGGCAGTCTGGCGTTGGGTCCCATCCGAGCACAACAGCGCTGACCCTGCCTCTCGTGCCCAGGCTGGTGATATCCCCGAAGCCGTGCGGGCCGAGGCATCAGGGCCTGCCGCGCCCGGTGCGCCCGCCCAGGCGGCAGCTCTCCGACGCGATGGCGGCGCCGCTGTCGATGTCGGCCCTCGGCTGCACGGCGATGCCATCTGCGCCGGCTCCGCGGTCTCGCAAGCGGCCAGCGGCTGCTGTGGCGGCTGCCGCTGCCAGCCAGTCGCGGCGCAGGCCGCGCGCGGCGTCAGAGACAGTGGCGCGCCCAGCCGAGAGCGACCGCCGGGCTGTTCGCCGGCAGGAGAGGGCGAACCGCTTCCCTGCACTCCCGCCCTCGGCCCCCCGCCGGGGCTTGACCTTCCTGGAGGAGCAGTCAGTGGGGGATGCGACCAGGGCGGACTACGAGCGCCGGCACGCTGCCTTCAGCCTGTGGGCCTGCCAGCGGGGCCACTCATTGGGGACGCCGACGGAGGTGGACAAGACACTGGTGCTGTTTTTTCACGAGGAGTTCTTGGACGGGGGCGAGAGCAGCGACGCCTGGAAGCTGATGGCGGCCCTCGCTTTCGTGCGCTCGGACCTCGGACCGCGCCAGGGCCGCCTGCCGCGGGCGGCGCGGGCTGCCAAGGGCTGGTCGCGCCTGGCACCGCCGCGGTCGCGCCTGCCGCTCCCTTGGCCCGTGGTGTGCCTCATCGTGGAGGTCCTGTGCCGCAGGGGCCTGGCCATGTATGCATGGCTGACCGCGCTCACGTTCGGCCTGTACTTGAGGCCGCGAGAGGCGCTGGAGCTCGTGCAGGCCCAGCTCATCCCACCAGGATTCACCTCAGCCACAACGATGCACCATTGGTGCGTGGTCCTCCATCTGTTCGAGAGGCAGACCCCGTCCAAGACAGGTGTGTTCGACGAGAGCTTGCTGGTGGACTCGACCTGCTTTCTGTGGATGCCGAACCTCGTCCAGGAGCTGCACCGCCGCACGCCCGCAGGCCACCGCCTGTTCCCAGTCACCTACGCGCAGTGGAACTACCACTTCAAGGCCGCCGTCTCCGACCTCGGCCTGCAGGTCCTGGGCAACTTGACGCTGCACCAGCTGCGGCACGGCGGCGCGAGCCACGAGCTGTACGCGGCGGCGCGGCCCCTCCGCGACATCCAGAAGCGCGGCAGGTGGGCCACCGATGCCGCGCTCCGACGCTACGCCAAGGGCGGCCGCGTGCAGGAGCAGCTGCACCGCCTCCCGCGCGCCCTGCAGCTCCAAGCCGAGCAGGCGTTCCGCGGGATTGGCGCCACCCTATCGGCGAGCTGGCTTCGTGGGTGAGGCACGCCAAGGCCGGCGTCTTCCTGGAAGTCTTCAGCGGCTCTGGGCGGATGTCCGCGGCATGGCGCTTGCGTTTCCGGTCGCAGCATGCCGCCTTTGAGCTGGACATTCGCCACGACACCGACAGCGACCTCCTCCGTAAGCGCATCAGACAGCTGGTGAGGGGCTGGGTGCGGAGTCGACTCATTGCCGCAATCTGGATTGCGACGCCCTGCCAGTCTATGAGCCGTGCCCGCAACCGGCCCAACGGGCCACCGCCCCTTCGGACGAAACAGTTCCCGCTGGGGTTGCCAGGCCTGTCGCCGGGAGACCAGCTCAAGGTTGAGAGAGGAAACACGCTTGCCACTTTTAGCTTCTCTCTCTTTTTGCTAGCGCGCAGTTTGCACATGCCAGTTGTAATTGAGAACCCTAGCACCTCTTGGTTGTGGCAGCTCCCAGGTGCAATCCATCTCAGTCGAATTCGTAACACTCGCATTGTAGACTTTGATTTTTGTGCGTTCTCGACCGCGTGGCGGAAGCGCACTCGGCTCTTATATTGCCATCTCAACCTCGACCCTCTCAGGCCGTGTAAATGTTCGGGTCGTGGTGTCTGCAGTTTCAGCCGCCGCCCCCATCAGATCCTCGAAAGCAAAGACGCCTCAGGCACCTTCTGGACGCACATTGCAGAACCGTATCCCAAAGACTTGTGTAGGCTGGTAGCTAAGTGTTTCCAACAGGCTTTGCGAAACCACTCGTTTCTTAGCCTGGACAGGTTTGTGTTGGCCTAAGGCCAGGGTTTCAAAATTCGGTGTTGCTCGAGTTTTTAGATTTCGGATCGTGATTGTCTCGGGACTCGTTTTCCTTGGTCGAGGTGCCTCGCCCAGCCAGTCAATGTCGCACGGAGCTCCGGGTCGAGTCATCACACAGAGTTGCAGATGCAAAACAGTTCTGGCCCCCGAGAGTCTCCCCGGCTTGCACAGATTGCAATGGCGTGCCATAGATTCTTTGCTGCCTGTGGCGAGCGGGAGGGGGCCGCGGCCACCCGTGCTCAAGCCTCCCGCCCACGCTGCGCTCCCACCCATTTTCAGCTCGAGCAGTGTCCGTTGGATCGTGATTGTCTCGGGACTCGTTTTCCTTGGTCGAGGTGCCTCGCCCAGCCAGTCAATGTCGCACGGAGCTCCGGGTCGAGTCATCACACAGAGTTGCAGATGCAAAACAGTTCTGGCCCCCGAGAGTCTCCCCGGCTTGCACAGATATATGTACATGTACATGTATATGCAAATGTATACGTACATGTAGTTGTATATGTATATGCATTTGTATATGTATATGTATATGTATATGTATAGGTATATGTTTATGTATATGTATATGTATTTTTATTTGTATATGTGTATACGTATATGTATATGTGTATATGTATACGTACATGTATATGTATACGTATAGGTATATGTATATGTATCTGTATATGTGTATGCATGTATGTATATGTATAGGTGCATCTGTATAAGTATATGTATATGTATATGTATATGTATATGTATATGTATATGTACATGTATCCGTATATTGAACTGTGTATGTGCATGAGTATGTGTATGTTTATGTATATGTATCTGTATATGTATATGTATATGTACAGGTATATGGATATGTATTTGTATAAGTATGTGTATACGGCTATGTATATATATAATCATATGTATACGTATATGTATATGTATATGTATATGTATATGTATATGTACATGTATATGTATATGTATAGGTATATGTATATGTATATGTATATGTATATGTATATGTATATGTGTATGTACATGTACATGTATATGTATATGTATATGTATATGTATGTGTATGTGTATGTGTATGTGTATATGTATATGTATATGTATATGTATATGTATATGTATTTGTATTTGTATATGTATATGTATATGTATATGTATATGTATATGTATATGCATATGCATGTATGTATCCCCCTCACCCCCCTCCCCCCTCTCCCACGTTGCTGCCCTCACGACCCCCCCCTCGCAAATGATGCTGTGGATCCCCCATGCGTGGATACACTACCTCTGCGCCGCGTGTTGTGGGCCGGCCCGCGCGCGTCGCGCTCCCGCCCGACCTTCGCTATGCCGAGCCGCTGCGCGCGTGGCCGCGACGCAAATGTGTGTGTGTGTGTGTGTGTGTGTGTGTGTGTGTGCGCGTATGTGGGTGGGATTGCGTGCGGATCGTGCTTTCTCGCAAAACCTTCTGGTGTCCGAGTGGGCGGCGGCATCCACGTTTGGGCGGCCGCAGTGTCGGCCCGCGACGGCCGCTCGTGTGCGTGTGGCCGCATGTCTTTGGCCGCTGCGGCTGCTACACTGGTGCTCTCGCGCTCGCCCAAGGGCAGCACATGGGCGGACTGGCCGCCTTTTGACGGACCTTTGATCCAGACCCCCGCGCGTTGCGCCAGCTGAGATACGCATGCCACGCCCAGTCAAACAGCGCAGTGGAGCGTTCGACGTCGTTTCTTGAACATGCTTGCGTTTGACAGAGGTCAGATTGGCCGCTGGAGTCTGTGCGCCCCCCTGCCTCGGCGTTGCGGTGGCTCCATAGCGCTTTTGTTCTATTCGGCTGCAGCGACATGGGTAAGATAAGCTTGCATGAACAGCGGCAGTGGAAGATGGCTTTCACGATGCTGGGGAAAGCCTCAGAAGAGTGCGGGGAGGCAGCCAGGGCCCCGGGATGTGGCGTCCATGCCACTGCTGGCAAACCTCTCGGAGGCGGTTGGGGCATGGGCTCGAAAGTGGTGTTGCCAGAGTCTTCATCAACTGTGCAGTCATCCATGTGCTGGTCCTTCGCTTCTCGAACTCATCTTTTTTCGGAGCGCATCGCGTTGGTGATGGCACACAGGAGTCACGCGGCGTTCGGTCCAGTAGTGTACAAGGCAGCGTCACGATGAGAACGTGCTCGACGAGAAAAGGCGTGCTGGACATGAATGCGAGAGTGGACGAACGCGACGAACACTAGAAATAAGTTAGAACAGATATCAGCGGAAGTGGGGCTGGTGTGGAGGCGGTCGTGAAGCAGCTCGTGCAGGCCAGATGGTTTGTTATGGGTTTTCTTTTCGTTTGAGTGTGCGTGTGCGAACGGTGTGCTTTGTTTTGGTAACTTGCGCGCTCGACTTGCTGATGGCTGCATTGCGAACGGACTACTGCACTTTCAATTCTACTCGGTAAATGCAATTTTAGTGTTGTGCGGCTTGCCGACATGTCACCCTGGGTCACGTGTTCCCACCAGTACGCGCATGTCTTTCAGTTCCGAGCGCTCCCCTCTTATGCTCAGTGTTTGCAAGGTCGGCGTGCCACCAGGGTCCACTACGACAGTGATGTGCAGCAAACTCGAGGCTGTACCTTCAGCGCGCTCTCTTCGTTCTGCTGCGTTGGCGGCTTGGGTGGCGATCACTGGTGTGTTCGCAGTTGTCACTGAAAATGTAATTTTTGCCGCATGCAAGATCGCTGCTACCAGCGTTAGTGGGTGCTTCCTCTTTAGGTACTGCCTTGTATGTGTGCTGGGGAATCTCGAATCTTCGGCGCTCCGCGTGTCCGAGGAGGCCACGGCGATCCGCAGATGAGACAGAGAGGTGGGACCCAGAGCCCAGCCAAGAAGTTCGAGGAATTAGCTCGTGCAACTCTTCGGGGTAGCGTGTCCACCAGTCCGTTCAGAAGTGTTCACCCAGCGAGCTATCGTGAAAAGGGTATGGGCAGGGTTGCCGCCGATCAGCCCTGCCGCTGGCCAGGCCGACGGTCCGCTGCCGCTCCGCCGCTTGCCGGGGCCTGGCCTGCAGGGAAGAAAGGTATACCCCCTAAAGGGGTACGATCGAAGACGAAGAGGGCGGGTATCGAGGGTTTGGGAAATACGCGTTAGCGGTCACTCGAGCAGATAAGAGCGAACAGTCTTGAACTGATTGTTGTTGTTGTTGCTGTTGCTGTTGCTGTCGCTTTTGCTGTTGTTGTTGTTGTTGCTGTTGCTGTTGTTGTTGTTATTATTGTTGTTGTTGTCGTTGTTGTTGTTGTTTTTTTGTTGTTGCTGCTGTTGTTGTTGTTGTTGTTGTTGTTGTTGTTGTTGTTGTTGTTGTTGTGGTTGTCGTTGTTGTTGTTATGGTTGTTGTTTTTCTTGTTGTTGTTGTTGCTGTTGTTGTTGGTGTTGGTTTTGTTGCTGTTGCTGTTGGTGTTGTTGCTGCTGCTGTTGTTGTTGTTGATGTTGTTGTTGTCGTTGTCGTTGTTGTTGTTGTTGTTGTATTCTCATGTTTGAATCATAACTTTTGTTGATCCCCCCACCGGTGCTTACTGTTTTTTTCTCAATCCAAGTGTGTCCCTCGACGTTCGCACCTGGCTTTGTTATCAGGGAAGGTCTTGAGGCTCAAACTGGGCCCCTGGCCCCCGGGTTACGACAACAACAACAACAACAACAACAACAACAACAACAACAACAACAACAACAACAGCAACAACAACAACAACAACAACGGTTCCCGCCCGAGACTTCCTCACCATTTAGGCAGGACCCCCGCTCCGGCCCGAGACATCCTCGCATTTTATTCAGGAATCGCGATCTCGCTTGGAACTTCCTTACAATTTATTCAGGAATCGCTCTCCCGGCGCTTTGGAGTCGCGCTTTCGCTGGAGACTTGCTTGCAATTTACTGAAGAGTAGCGCCCTTGCGTTGGAATTTCTTGCAATTTACTCGAGCGCCGCGCTCCCGACACCCAGGCACCCAGGAGTCGCGCTCACGCTTAGGACTCCCTCACAGATTATTTAGGAATCGGAATCTCGCTGCCCTTTGTGGCCCCGTTGCAGCCCTTCGTGGCCCCCTCGCTTTGTTTCGTGGCCCCGTTGCAGCCCTTCGTGGCCCCCTTGCAGTCCCTCGTGGCCTCTTCGCTGCCCTTCGTGGCCCCGTTGCAGCCCTTCGTGGCCCCCTCGCTTTGTTTCGTGGCCCCGTTGCAGCCCTTCGTGGCCCCCTCGCTGCCCTTCGAGGCCCCGTCGCAGCCCTTCGTGGCCCCGTCGCAGCCCTTCGTGGCCCCCTCGCTGCCCTTCGTGGCCCCGTTGCATCCCTTCGTGGCCCTCTCGCTGCCCTTCGTGGCCCCATATATGTATGCCATTCGTGTCCCCCGCTCGTTCGCGCCCGTGGTGGCCCCACATGCATGCCCTTCGTGGCCCCGCTGTCGCCCTTCGTGGCCCCCTCGCTGCCCTTCGTGGCCCCGTTGCTGCCCTCAGTGGCCCCGTCCTTGCCCTCCGCGGCCCAGTATACGTATGCCCTTCGTGGCCCCCGCTCGTTCGTGCCCGTTGTGGCCCCATGTGCATGCCCTTCGTGGCCCCGCTGTCGCCGTTTGTGGCCCCCTCACTGTCCTACGTGGCCCAGTTGCTACCCTCAGTGTTCCCATCGTTGCCTTTTGTGGCCCTGCATTATCTGCCCTTCGTGGCCCCCGCTCGTTCGCGCCCGTTGTGGCCCCATACGCATTCCCTTCGTGTCCCCGCTGTCGTCCTTCGTGGCCTACTTCATGTCTTTGTGGCCCTGCTGTCGTTCTCTCTCGCTCTCGCTTTCGCTCGTCGTCGTCGTCGCCGTCGCCGTCGCCGTCGCCGTCGTCGTCGTCGTCGTCGTCGTCGTCGTCGTCGTCGTCGTCGTCGTCGTGGTCGGTCCCCTGTCCGTCCTTCTTGGGGTCGGGTCGACGGCCCGCGGCCGCCCCGCCGATCAGCGCTGCCGCTGGCCAGGCCGACGGTCCGCGGCCGCCCCGCCGCTTGCCGGGCTGCAGGGAAGAAAGGTATATCCCCCAAAAGGGGTTCGATCGAAGACGAAGATGGCGGGTATCGAGGGTTTGGGAAATACTCGTTCTTGAACACTCGAGCAGATAAGGGCGAACAGTCTTAAACTGATTGTTGGTGTTGTTGTTGTTGTTGTTGTTGTCGCTGTTGCTGTTGCTGTTGCTGTTGCTGTTGCTGCTGCAGTTGTTGTTGTTGTTGTTCTTGTTGGTGTTGTTG